CTGACCCTTCCTTCAGGAGGGACACTTATACTGACATAGAAAGGAAAACAGACTGGATTAGAGATCATGATATAGTGACAATACAAAGCCCGCCCATTTATGTGCGGTTGTTAACATTCTAAATTAAAGAGTCAACAAGAATCTTGTATCGTGTTCAGATATATTAAGAAACAACAGTATTGCATTTATGGCAAGTATTGCAGACAACAGCAATTTTCATCATATTAATATGAATTTATATGGTCACTTCATAAAAATGCAAAGATAAATGTCCAAACTATTTGTGAAACAGGGAGAATTTTTCTAACTAAATCTAAGAAAAACAATGTCCTAGGCAAACACGCATCAATGGGCTAAATGCAACTATTTTGCCCTACAGACAGTTCAGGAGTTGAGTGCCACAGTTAAAGATCACTTGTGAGGACTACTTGTAAAGAATTTAGCTTTACAAATCCATTTACACTGAAAAAAAAATTCCTTTTGTAACATGCTGTAGCTGAAGTCACCCACTAACTTCATCTGCATCAAGTAAACAAAGTAGTAACTGTTTCATGATTATGCTCAGGCCTGTGCTAAGATGATCTCTGCTGCAGAATACCAAGTGCAATGCAGTCTTTGAGACTATTCCTATTTTGAAAAGAAAAATATTTATGGGTATATAGCCAAGATGGTCTGAATTTGAGCACAAGGGTTCTGGACAGAAAGATGTTGCATTACTTACTGTTTTCTCCCCTTCCTTCTCATGAAGAGCAATAGATACAAAATGACCCCCAAGTTCTTTTAACAAACTAGAGTTTATGTCAAAAGAAGTGTGTGTTGGGGGGAAGTGGGAAAAGAATAAATAGAGGCATGAGCAACTACAACTCCTAGGACTGCTACTGACCCAGCGTTACCCCCCAGAACACAGTTTAAGAGCGCTACAGCAATGGAAGCTGCAAATCTCCAAAAATGGAAGTCAGATGGCCTGTGAAAGGGTCATGGAAAGAGGCTACACTTATCCAGCTCAAACTGCAAGAGGAACAACACCCATCCCTTTTTTGTTTGTTGTTAAGAACAGTTCTTCAAGTCAGAGCACTTAGTTTTCTTAAATGGGACCGAAGTCCTGCAATAGATAATGCTTTTATATTTGTTACAAACATTACGTTTACGGATGAATCCTAAAAAACCCAACATATTACGAGACAAACAGCATTAACATCTTAAATTAGTGAGACTAGGGATGACTTAAATGGATTTTAAGCTGCCAACTGCATAAAATTACTCAAGTCAACTTGCTATGGCAAGTTGAGTAACTGGCTTATGTCTAGCTTCAGATACAATGTGATCAAAAAGTTCATGCTTTTTCTCATAAGAGCATGCATAGTCTATAATTTTTTCCTTAAAAAAATCAAAATGCAAACCAAATCAAATTCAAATGCAAAGGGTTGTAGTGATGTCCTATGTACAATATTTAGCATCACACAAGAAACAGGACCCTTAATTCAACTATTTCCACAGTCTAAAGGGGTCAAATTCTAAACTTTCACTTCAGAGTCTGCTCCTTCCCAGTGTACACAGTGGTGGGTGTGCAGCAGCTCTCACCTCTGTTCAAGATGCATCACTGGACAGTACAGACTAAATATTCACAGGGCAGAAAAGACTAGAAGGAACCTGGCTGCACAGGCTGCCATTAAAGCCAGGTGCTGAGAAAAGGGAACTGTGGGTCTCCAAGAGTCAAGTCTACCAGTTTTACATCCAAAGTTAAAATAATTTTTAAAGCCAGCTGAGTCAGAAGAGCCTCTCTGGCTCAGTAAGAGTGTCCAAGGCAATCCTTTCACTCCAGCCACTAACTTAAGACACCTAACCTGTACCATTCCCTTGTTCTTTCAAAGACAGAAAAAATGTTGATAGGAAAACATCCACCTAAATTCAAGCAGCTTTAAAAGGACAAAAGAAGCATTGAGACTCCTACATGCAATCTGATCTCACTGAGCTCTGAGAAGTTTGACAAGAATTAAAAGCAACCAAAGAGAAGGAACCACTTGTTATTTTACACTTCCCAAACCTCGATACTCCTTTATCCAAGTCCCATAAGGCTACGTAACAGCAGGAGCCACAAATAGAACGATTCCAGACCTTTAAGAAAGCATTATGGCTCATGCAGTGGCGTTCCTTTACAATTGTAAGATAAGGAAATAATCTGGTTCAACTTTATGAACATGTCATGTGTGCAAAAATGAACTGCAGAGAAGTGTCTGGTTTTATCAAATCAAGCCTTAAGTTCTACAAAAAAATTTACATTTTCTTTCTTCTACACAATGTCTAGTCCAGCCTTTTCAAGTATTAAGGCTATTTAAGTATTCACTTGGAATTTAAGTTTACCAAAACTGCAATATTTCAATAGTGTTAGTATACCCTTACCAAGTGGTACTTGGAGCGGCATTTAAGGAACAGAACTGACAACTTAATAACTAACATTTTAGCTATACATTATGACACACAGATCTACAAAATGTTCTTCGATGTCTACATTAACGACAACCAAGTATCAAGTGTTTTGATCTTTTCCTTAGCTATTTAGCTCTCCCTGAATGTCAACACTGGCATGCTGACAGAGTAACACTAAGATGGAATTTTTTTGCTACTATAAAAGAATTTTAAATTTTTCCTGACTTCTGCATTAATGGACAATCTTCTGATACCCAAGTGCAGTAAACTCACGTGAATCTAGTAAGTTGCTGTCTTTAGTCAACTGTGACATACAATTGCTTGTGCAATAACTTCTCACCTGCTACTCCACATACTATCCACACTATTGCCCTGTTACCCTACTTTTATTATAGATGAATACAATTATGATCACTCACTGTAAACTTGTCCTCCCTTTTCTTTCGGTAGCCATATGAGTTTTTCCTAAGAAAAAGAAAGCAGTTATCAGAACTTTGTCTATAAATGAATGGAAGATAGTTGGTGAAAGCAAGAGAAACAAATTCAAGTTGCTATTTTATCCATCTTCATTCTAGACAGATTAAAAAATGTTTTGGGGAAAAATTTCTAGCAAGGTCTCATTAAAACAAAGGTACAGATCTTATATAAGTCAGCACAAGAATACACTAGCTACAAACAATTCCCATGTTAAAAGCATCTCAGTGCCAGTTTCATATAAGGCTTAGACAAAAACCTTTCAATATCCAAAGTAAGTGTTTTAGTCTATTTTTGATACCTCTAACTCTTGAAATATGAGTAGCCATTTTGAGTTCAGGTAAAGCCCCTTCAAAACATTTGCAGTACTTCTCCCCCAGCCCTGTTTCAGGTAACCCCCTCCAAGCAGCAGTTTAGAGTTTGCAATGCCTTCTAACTCTGTTCCAATATATTTTCCAAGTTTTCTGTTTGACTTTTAATGTTCTAAATGTGTTCAATACCAAAGCATCAGAATATAAATCTATGTACTGACTATTCCAGTGCTTTTTTGTAGTCTATAATTTGAGCAATCTTGTTTCCTACATCCTTAATCATACTTTCATCCACTAGTTAGAACACAATTTGGCAAATTAGATTTAGAAAAGTGTTACAATCCTTGCACAAAATCCCCACTTAGTTTTGCAATGATACAATACAAGCCTAATATAGGATCATCTGCAAAGGACTTATCCTTCCATTCAGTAAGTCACTCAAAATGTGATTTACTTGGGGACACAAACACAGCCATCATTAAACAAAGCTGCACAGTAGTTTTATACAGCACTTATTAGAACTATAATGTATTTTAAGAAATTCCAAAATAAGCCTCCTAAATTCTCACATTAATATTGGTGCCACCAATTTTCGGCTCCCCAGGTACTTTATTTGGCTGGTTTTTTAAACTGCATAACAATAGTTTTCTTAGTTGCATGCAATCCTTTTTCCTCCCTCCATACCTATCCATCATCTTTGCTGTTGCAATGTTTAATTTGGGCAAAATTCTGATCTTTCAACTGAAAAAAAATAATGAGCACTGCTAGTAGAAGTTCAGGCGCACAATCTACACTGCTGAACAATGGAACAGGCAGAACTGCTTACACAAAAAGTTTCCTATAATAGATAAAGAAAGGATAGAGGATTAGCTCTTACAGCTGTAAATTGTTCATCAGTTGCCATTAATGATTTTCATTTGGTAGGAAAACATGCAAGTCCACTCTGCATTTGTTCTATATTTAGCACTTTCTCTGAAGTACGTTGCAAGATTTTAACTTTGAGGACAGACAGTCCGAGTTTAAACAGTAACGAGAACAGTACTAGCACTATACCTCTTTACTAAAAGAAGTAGTTTAGAAGCAGCAATACCAGGTATTTCAGAGGACAACTACGAAGTACACTCACCTTCCTCTACCTAATCCAGGAGAGGAATCAACACTGGTCTGTTCCATCCGTCCAGTTCCTACTTCCCTCTTGGTGTAACTCGTAGTAGCATTCTGCATCCGTGTCCTGTTTTGTCCCGGCTGCCGCGTCTGTGGACTCCTGACGCCATTGATTAAACGATCAGCAGAAAAGTTGAATATTGTAGGACTGTCTAGAAGCCCAGGTCCCCTTTCTGCACTGGGTATTGTATGTCGTATATGAGACTTGCTAGGATTCCTACAAATTCAAAAGTCATTTCAACATACGTACTATGAGAGAGCTTCTGAGGCCCAGGACTACACACAGATTTCAGAAGAAGCACTTTATTACATATTTCTTTTAAAAGAATGGTAAATATTCATTTTAACAGGTCATGTGAATTATCAAAATTAACCTTTTTCACTATCTATTTTTCAACTATGGCCTTACTAAAACCTACTTAAACTGGAAATACTATATGAATATTCCTGCTTATCACATGCCATCATTCAGAATATTTCATCTGAATGCCCTAAATCACTGAACAGACAAATTCTCAGCTTTCAGACAGTCCATTTACATTTAGAAACAGTACATCCACTAACAGTAGCAGCACTGTCTGCCCTTTGGCCTCACTTAACCTTGCACCAGGTTCAATTTCACTAAAACAGATTAAAACCCCACATGCCAGATAATAAGAGAGCATGTATATTGTTAAAAGATGGTTGAACTTGCCTGTTCCTGGGAGGATATTGTCTGAGTGTAGTCAATGGAGAAGCAGCAGGCTTGAAGGTTGGAGATGTGAATCCATTGATAAATCCAGTATTTGGAAAGGGTGTTACCTAAAGGATATATTGCATGCTTATAAACAAACTGAGTGCTATTTTTATTTAACCTTGTATTTTATGTCATTCTACACAGGGCAGTACTTAAAAGATTGGCTCAAACAGCAATAGAGCATTTGTCCAGTGCCTTGTAGCCAACTTACAAAATGCTGCTTTTTGAGAACACAGCCACTACACATATGCAAGTTCTGATAATTTGTTGAAAGGATTGACAAACAAGTCAAAATTCTTAGCTGTAAGTTATGTTCCTTCTATTTCACACCATACTATGCATGGCTTCAGAGTACAGAGATACTTCATCAGAAAGTCTAACCTACACAGCCTGAAATTGTTTTTCTTATATGTGAATCCCTCCCTAAAAGAATAATTTCTTTTTAGTTCCTCATTCTACTTATCTTCCACATGACACCTAAATAAAACCTAGAGAATAAGTGGATGTTAAGTGGACCTCTGATTCTTTTCACATCTGACCACCTTATTCTACATGTGAATGACTGTCTTGTTGCCCAAGCAAGCAACATTTGCAAGAGATTTTTTGGGGTGGGTTCATATCAATGTTTGTATTAAGCAGTTCTCAAAATCTGAAGCATGTTCATAATAATCTCTCCAGCCTCACTAGCACACTTTTATATGTATGAATGAGTTTCATCTAGGAAATATTATTAGTAACAGCAAATGCTTGTCTTCTTCCACAAAAAGAACTAAAACACAGAACAGTAAGACTTCTATGTAGCACACTCTCTACACTTACTTAAATGGTAAGTAACAGCTGGGACTAAGACTGTTTCCTACAAAGGTATCTTTAAGCTTGTCTAACCTTTCTTGCAAAAGTTAAAGCAAATCATTAATCAATGAAAAATAAAATTTAATACCAAAGCTGTCATGTCAAACTACTGTTAGCCTGATCTAGCACACATGACAGCAAATGCTACCTCAGACTCCAAAAATAGGCCATTAGGAGTTTAATAAAGCTATTTTAGGAAGAGAGTTCCATTGAAACACTGCTTTGAAGTGCTTTCTGCTTTAATAGTTGCAACTTGAATACTGTAAAATTCAAATCAAAGCTAGTAAGCAACTACTGAACCTGAATAATGAAGAGACATTGAACATAAAGGAAAACAAGTTTAATTCATTGCTTAGAGGGACACTGGCAATATTCACCCCTTCTTTCTTTATACGGATGAGTGATCTTTTTGGAGGCAAAAATGTAATTTTCATTTGCCAATAATACCAAAAGCTTCAATGCACTTTTTCTACATAATTTTTTTCTTTTTTTACAAGCAGGACAAACTAGATCTTTCTTCAAATACTGTTAAGTACTTGAAGTAGGTAGTTTTAAAGGACATGTGTTGCCACATTCTAGTTGCAGAACTAACACTGTGTGCCTGCACTAGTGGGTATATTTAATCTCAAATTAGAAAATCAGACAAAGCACTGTTAGTGTTTACGCCACAGCAGAAGAGGAGAGAAACTTCTGCTATATTTGCACACAAGTCTCTACATGCAAACTGCAACCCTGTCATGAAAATTATTCCTGTGTCATTGTTCCTCATGCTCCCTGTTCGCCTCACAAGTAACTTCTATTCAAATATAACTCTTGTAAAAGGGTCGAGAAACATCATGCTACTTTAATGCACACAAAATGCAGCTAACCAGTGACAATATACTGCAAAACAGTGGGAGGCAAAACTCTGCCAGGTAATTTTCTGGTTTTACTAAGAAAGGTATGAGATCTTTAATGCTGGCAAAGTTGTACCATCTTCCCCCAAAGGCCAGGACTAGAAAGCTGTCTGGAATACAAAGAGTTCCAGGATGATATAAGGCAGATACACACTATGCTGTGCTTGAACCTGTAGCCAATTAGTCTATGTCTTCTACACCAGTGCCATCCAACTACTTCACTATACCGCAGCAAGACTGTGCAACAGCCAGTCTTAGTTTATCACATTCATTGCTACTTAATAAGGTGGCTTTCTCCTGGAATAACATTGTTCACTATGCTACCTTGTTTCCTCTGCATTCTTTCTCCCTTAAAAAGCCTTCCCCCTGCAAGGGCTCTGGCTACCTTCCCTCTGCATGAAGTGTTTAGCACACCAACTTTTTAATTAGCTTGCTGTTCAGTACACAGGAAGTTTGGTGAAGTTTGTTCAAGGACACTTTAATCCTCTGCCAAAAAACCTCTAAAAACGTTCTAATTTTGAGCACTGCTACCCTAGGTTTTTTTTAGCTGCAAGTAAAGAGGCATTTACAGAAGGGAGAAAGAGGTTCCACATAGGACAACCTTAGTCTCTCAGTCATTACAGAAAACTATACTCATATTAGGTTTTGTAGGATAACAAAGGCAGACTGAAAGGGGCCAAGGTAATTCTGATGGGACTGTCACAACAGAGGAGAAGATGGAAGCAACACTGCAGGATGCAGCAGATGTCCCATTAGAGTATATAAAGACTTACTGCTACCACTCTAGCTCTACCAATAGCACCTTTAAGAATTTTTTTTTTTAAATAAGCCATTTAAAAGCGAATTATTTCTTTTATTACCAAAAGTAATTTTTATTGCCAAAAAAGGTGTTATTTTTTCACAGAAAATATTTTTCTTGAAGAACATGCCAAATAGGGTAAGTCAGCATGTTAACCTAGAACTTATTTTCCTGCTGGAAGAACAAGATACTAAGTTATTCTTATTTATTGGATTTCATTAAGTTTATTCAATACATATCAGAATTACTTTTTCTGGTATTAGATCTTCAGACTATGTACATGAATTTCTAAAGAGGCTTTTAACCATAACTAAAAGAAGTCTTTAGTAAAGATTTCTTTTGGTAATGGTTAATTAATAATCTCTACTACAGAACTGCCTCAAAAATTAAAAGGTAAAAAGAATCCCACTGCAATCTGAGACCAGATGCTGTTTTCAATAAGTAATCTTGTACACCACAGGAAGAATTTTGAAGAAGAATCCGAACCTTAAACTCCCATTTTCAGGATACCTATGCCAATAATACCAACTTTGAAAAGAATGCAACTGCCTCATAATCACAAGACTCACCAATGAAGGGTCAAGGTAGCTGTGCGTGGCTGACCAGGTCTGGGGGCCAATTAAGCTGTACAATGGAAACTGCTGATGGGGGCTGTATACTGGAGGTAAGTAAAAGGATGTTGTGTAACGCTGCTGCGTGTAGAGGTTCATATCCAGAGGTCTATATCCGTTCTTTGGCAAAAATGTGTTTATAGCTATTGCCTTTGCTTTTATCCTTGCCTGCAAAGAAGATTATATTTGTTACAGCAGCCTTTCAAATAAAATCAAGATAGTTCAAACTAGCAGCTCTCAAAACTTTTACTGCACACTTGTCTATCACTGTTTTCTCCTTCAAGAAAGGCAGGAACAGCTGAATGCTCCCCTGCTGGCCTGATGCTGGAATGGATATACCACTGCCAGAAAGGAGGAAAAGGAGAAGTAAAATGGCATGTGCTACATTTCAAATCCCATCTCCAGGTCAAATGGCTGCTGAGATTACACCACTTAAATTTATATTAGAAAACACAGTGAGCCCCCAAAAACCAGAACACATACACTCATACCCCCAAAAACCCATAAGGCTCTATTTACCTTAATTGGTTTTCCTTGGAAAGTTTTCACTTCTTCTCTAAGGTATCTGTAAGCCTTTAAAAAAAGTAATTACAAAATTTGTCAAATATAATTTAAACAAAGGAAACTTAAGTTTTGACAGGCTAAGCCTAACAATAATTCTTGAAGTGTCTGCTAACGTTAGACTAAAGAAAACCCTCACATGTAATCTGTATTCAGCAAGATTTATCATCACAGAAATGTTTCAGTAGCATTAAAACAAGATTTTAATTATTACAATTAAAGCATTTCAGTGTGTCATCCAAAATATCAACGTTCTTCACACAAAAAATTACAGCTTTGGCCAGGAAGCCAAGATACATGAAACAAAATAAAACCCTTACAGGGTTATGTTTAATAGTACTGATAACTGAATATAAGCTAAGGGGAAGCATTACTGGTTTTAGAGGTTTGGGTGTTTTTCTTTTTAAATTGTTACACAATTGCCATGCAGTTTATGACCCATCAAATCCACCCTCATTCCACCCTTGTTACATTCTAAAATCCTTAAAAAAATAACATTACCTGCTGTGCATCAGCTTCCGATTCAAACGTGATGAACCAGTTGTCATTATAGGCAAACTCACAGTTGATAAACTTAGGCAAATTATCTCCTTTGAAAAGTGCTTCAACCTCCTAAGAAAAGTGGTTTTGATAAGGGAAAGAAAAGGGTGGGAGAAAAAAAATGGATGGACAGAAAAAAAAACATTAAAGTGCAGAAACTCTGGAATTCCAGGAAAGAAAGATAAAAAGCACTTTAGGGCTTACAAAACAGAACTGAGAACTTCGGAACACCTGCAGCAGTGTTAGCCCTCTCCAATCTCTCCACTAGCTCGAAAGAATACAAACACACCTCATCTAAAGCCATGCTGCAAGTAGAAGTTCCCTGATGTAAAGGGAGCAGGCGAGAAACTATTTGATGCCAAATTTCAGTGTCTCTATGGCTTAGAGAAAAACGTCTATTTCCCTCATCCCAAAAATCACAGAGCCAAACAAAAGCCTGCACGTACTACATGGGATAGGAGAACCTCACCCTTTCAAGCAGGATCCTGCTCACTCAAGCATCTACAGTTTAATATATTTGAAACAGATTTATGTTACCTCAAAAACAATCAGGTACTTTCTACAGAAAATGCACACCTTGGACTTTGTATTTGTTTTATTCCGTTTGCATATTATTTATTTTTGTCACAAAATTGAGCCAAGCTGCATCAAAATGCAATGCAACTTGGGAGGGCTTACAGTATTTTGGACCTTTGCTGCTTAAATAAGGCCTGACCATGCTATGCCAGAAAAAGTATCCTATTAAATCTGGCAGGTTAAGTCTAGATTTTCCAGTCTGGCAAATTTAAACACATAATGTACAAAACACTTCAGACCACCTCTTTTGAAAATAAAGACTCCTCAGAACTTTGTGGCTGTTAAGCATTTAAGAATGACCACCCAGTGCTAATATATCCAACATGACAAACTGATGACAGAAAAAAAAAATTCTATAATATTAAAGCCAGGTAGTCTTTGAAAGGTCACCTTTCATTTAGAAAGCTAAAAGCAGCTGATATTTTTAAGCTGTGTATATAGTATACCTAACTTCTTCCCTACAATTCCTTTTAGCATTTTGTTTCATGCTCCTGTTTATTAAGGCCACTTCTTTATATGTTTTTAAACTGCAGTATTTTTAATTTCTGTATTAAGACTGTCAAGAGCAGCAACTCTTTCAGAATCTTTATTCTTCCTTGTAAAATTAAATAGAAGGGAAATGAAAATATCTCCCCATCATCAAGAATCTGTGCCTTCTCCTCAGTTTGGAAATTCAAGATGGTTCAGTCTATGGACCAGTAGTTTTTTTCTAGTCTTTCCATCATAGTCCTAGCTACATCAGAGTTGCATTGAATACCTTTTAAAGAATTGAGTTCCCCATTCTTACACTTATTCCACAAACCGGCAGAGAACTTTAACGACTTGTTGACCCTCAGCATTGTGGAAATGTTTGCAAAATTAAGTACTTTACCCTAACAAGCTTCAAGGTGCAGCAGTGACATTTTCCATTCTAAGACTTACCTTCCCTCATCTTCATTTGCTGTTTATCCAAGGAGCTGGGATAAGTGCATATGGATAAGCAAGTGTCCAAGAAAATTATGGTATCTCTACCAAACAGAGCATTGTCAGTTTTTCAGCCCTCTGTAGAGCTACAGGTTTTACCAGTCTTCCTATGAGCAACATGCTTCTATCAAATGTATTTATTATCCAAACATGCACAATAAACTGAGGTTTAGAAACACTGTTAGAAACTAACTAACAATGTAGTAAGAAATGTGACATGCATATTGAAATCTGGAAGAAATCCAACTTGCAAATCCTAAGGGAAAAGCATTCTTTACTGAACAACTAAACACTTACTTCAATGGGGGTAGATTCAGGTACTTCACGTAAAATCACAATACAGCGATTCTGATTTGGCCTAACTTTTTCTCCCTTCTCATCCACTTGGACTAAAGGCAACGCTAAGAAAAAGACAAAACAGTATTTTAGCTGTTAGCAATCACAGTAGCTTTTTTGCATACTGAAAGATGCTGTGCATACAGTTTTACAATGCAAAGCTTTTTGTGCTAAACTTCAAATATTTTTTTGAACATTAAGAAACAAGCAGAAGATTACTAAGGATATTTTCTGACATACGAAACTGAATAGACATGTTCCTTCAAATCTCTACACTCTTCCAGCCTAGAAAATCCCAATTCATTAGCTTTTTCTTCTAAGGCACACATTGAGTCATATTCTTTTTTGATTTTTACCTTTGAGTTCAAGTTCTCAAGAAAGGCTACTGGACATTGCCACTTTCTCATTTACACAGATCATTACTCAATACCTGAAATGCGAAGTAACTTTGATAAAACTGCAGTCCTATAATTGTGATGGTCTAAACTGGAAGCTGCTTCCTCTATTTAATGCTTTACAGGAAAAGGGTGGCATTTTATCGCGATACATAACAGAAAAGGAAAAGGTACTGAGAATCCAGATTAGTAGTCCTACAGCAATAACCAAAATGCTTTCTAGCATTGAGGATTTTTACTCACATCTCAGCACTTCAACAATCAAATCCATATCAGTACTGAGTTTCTTGACATGATCAAGGTTTGCTACTGTCATTATTGGCACATATTGATCACTGTCCATCTGTGATATAAGGTACATGTCACTGGCAAGATTTTCTCTGTTGGGAGAGGGGAAAAAAATGAGGAAATGTCACAGATGTAACTTTTGCCAACAAACTTGAGACAAAAACTCAGAGAGCAGATTCCTACACTAAATTTCATTTTCAGCATTTTCACCAACTCCCCAGTTGCATTCACATACTATATTTCGCTTCCTAAAAACCAAAAATGTCTTTTTCCTTCATGCAACAGTATTGGCATCTTCTGGTTCAGGCAGCACATTACCCCCCCCCCCCCCAAAGACGTAATATTGTTAGGAGCTTATTATTTCAAATGACCACTGACTGTAACTGGCTATGCAGGATTATACAGATTAGGAATTGTTCTAGGTTATTACGACATATTTAGGATGTTTTAATCTAGACACAAGCACTGAGAATAATTAAGTACAAGTAAACTGCTTTGATGATCTTGCATCAGTCTATACTGGAATGTGTATGATTCAGAGCCCTTTATTTCTTTTTTAAATTGATCCTTAAAATATAAAGGGATCTACAGACATACATACAAAAATTTTAGTTTGTATCAATGCAAATTTTACAATTATTAGCTTAAACAAAGCTTACCAAATGGCTTAAGCTACTCAGTTTTAATTTGCAAAAAAAAGTAACAGTCAAAAATTCACCTGATCTGTAATTGCTTGTAACTACTCCCACTTCAAAACAATATATTTGCTAGTTTATGTTTTAGGCCCAGAAGTTTCATGTAAGCCTTAAGAGGTACATCAATACAATACTCTGGAATTTGTGTCTGTCTTCCCCCAAATTCTCACCCTTTCCACTCACTTAAACTGACAGCTGTAAAATATATTAACATACATCCCAAGTTAGGTACTGGATCTTGTTAGTTACCCTCCAGTTTGCTACATTTAGGTATATACATACCTAGATAAGCAGAATTCCAGTGTTTTTTTCAGTAATTCTCGTAAATCTTCCTGACCTTCTGGCTGCAACTGTTCGTTTCCACCTAATAATTAAAATACATAAGTTTAAAATTTAGTTCTGTTACACAATAAATATTTTAATCAAACTATCATGTCTATTACTGGCTGTATAACTAGTAACAGGTTTTCAAATTCGGTAAGTGTTCATTGTGTATTAGTTCACCATCCCCCAAAATTGCACAGCAACATTTTTTTATTTCAGAAAAAAACATATCTGACTTCACTTGTTAGCCTCTGTTCTCCAAATAGATAAACACTTGAAGCAGTTTCACATCTCAAAGTACATACTGAACTGATGTAGCTCATATATCCGTCTTCCAGTCTTAGGAAACTAACCAATTTCTAGCTGACTAATGCAGCTGACTAACACAGCAAGCAGGCAGTGTAATGGAGGCACTTTGCACTTCTGGCCTCACACTAGTTCTGAAAAGAGTTTCAAAAACCAGTTATGAAATATCAGCAGATATCCAATCAGTTAACTAATGATTATGATTAATTTCTTCTTAACCAAGAGATTGTCAATTGATTTTTTCTCATACCTGAAGTTTCAAAATTATCACATGGAAAACACTAATGTCATGTTCATTTTAGTTGAGGGTAAACTTAATTGTGTGAGTGGGAGAACTGTTTAAAGATCAGAAGTTTAGTGGGGCTTTTAGAGATTTATAAAACATTTAGTAACATGTTACATAAATGTAAATTACTTTTTTAAAAGGTAATTCACACCAACTATTACCTTCTACACCCTTCCCTTCTTCAGTAACTTTCATTCTTTTCTTCAGCTCTCAACCTTTCTTCATCCTAAATCAACTTCTACTTTCCTCCCACCATTCTGTCCTTCACATGTTCTATTCCGATATAAATAATGCCAACACCTGAGAAATACACATACCAGGTACTAACCACTATTTCCCTTCCCCAACTCCTCTTCCTTCCTTGCCGAAAACCTAGCAAAGACCAAATTTATATGCTATCTTTTCAATTATTATTTTAAAAAGTGAAGTCAGATTTTAGAGTTGGGACCATCTATGTTACTATTCATCAAGTAGAATAGATCTGACCTGCTGTTCAGCTGCTTTACAACACTATTTGACTCTTATTAAAAGTTAACTATTTGGGGCACGTAAAGGACGTGCTGACACATTCTAACACTAAGCTGAGGAACACTGTTCCCTTCTAGAGTGATAGGCACCATTAATATTATTTTTTATTTGCCAGTTAGTTATTTATATTCCCCTATAGTACCCTTAAGTAGAAAAGTCAAGGAGAACTTTCCGTTTTCAACACAAGCAAGGATGATGCCACAACTGTGTCTGATTTCAGCTGTCTTGATTTCCAGCTATTACAGATGCTATACTGGTCATTTTAAATACAAGTGATAAAACCAGCTAAGCACAATGAACAAGAAGCAGACCTCTCATGAATCTCAAGAAACACCCAGCACATTTTGCTCTTTCCCATCCCTCATCTCAGTTCAAGTAGTAATGCTACATGCATCTTGCAGACCTTCTGTCCCTTTCAGTGAAAGATAAGCATGGCTGAATCACTACACTAGTTTCCAGAAGTTTCTTAAAACATGCCATCTGGTACAGACTACAGCTACTAACAGTTGCACTGAAAAAATCATGAAAGTTCATTAAAAAAGAATGCAAAGAAGTTAAGACTAAGTTGTCGCTTATTTTAGCATTTTAAGTACAAGACTACTCTTTAAATACATTAACATTACTACTTGAGACAAATGGTAGGTGAATTTCACCTGACCCAACTAGAACCATACAGCTTAAACAGATAGATACCTACACGTAAACACCTACACTAGATACTTGCATTCAGAATAACTTTTCAGAAAACAATACTCAGTTACATCCAGAACTTAAGATCAATTCAGTGCAGTATCTCATAAGGCCTATACTCAGAGACTAGTTTCCAAACACATCTACGCCCGAGAGCAAAAGAGACAGGATTTTCTGTGGTCTGTTTACATACTACATCTATTGAACAACAGAAGTGGTGTAGGGTTTTTTTTGGTTGTTTTTTTTTTTTTGGGGGGGGAGAGTGTTTTTGGTGTTTTTTCATGGATGCTCACCATTCAACTCAAAATATGTTTTCTTTTTTTAAACCAAGTCCAAGCAAATATTAGCTTTCTCTTACCTGTCTGGGTGGTTTCCTGCATAGACTCATACTCAGAATGATCAAGAGCCAAAGGGTTCATATCTGTCTGGTCTGACACCGAAACAGCTGGTGACTGCTCCTGCAGCTCTGTCAGCACTGCATTCTGATGCTTTTTGTCGCCGTCACCATTGGCATCCAGTCCTGCAGCAGAGATGACAAACACACTCAGAAAGCATTCCTTCTAATCACAGTAACATCATAGTTAAAACTACATCTGAGTGAAGTTGCTTGTATATTTGCAGTCTTTTTTTAACAGGAAATTAAAATTGAGAAGTTCTGCACTGAATTTTACCTTTTGCTTCAGCAACAGCTAGAAACTCTTATTCATACCTTCTTTACAAGAATCTGGAGGTTGGTCAGGTATTTCTTCCCACGTTTTGCTCACGCTACCATCAGTGGCACCACTTGCTTCCAAGTGTAACATATGATTTCCCCACACCTTTGCATTAGGATTCAACTCAGAAACCTTGGTTGACTCCTACAAAAAGGAAATTTCTTTGATTATGCACTTTGTGGATGCACAGTATGCATCTGTGCATATATATACACACACAGTTTCAAATAACAGTATCAGATGTATAACTCCAGATTGTATTGTCAAGGGTTTTTTCCACATCTGAATATATTAACTGAATTGCCATTCCATAATTGTTTCAGGTACAAAAAACCTGAACTGTGCAGCACAGAATTAATTTCCCTGATCAAGAATCACCAGAACAGGCTAGCCAAGCAGAGCAAACTACAACAAACATTTCATTCTTTGCCTTTGACAGACTAACTCAACCTGTGCTTGCCCTAGACTTCAGGCAGTTCTTTAATACACATATTAACTCAATGTTGACTATATTATTATTGTATCTGCTTCTACAAAACAACATAGAAAATTAAGATACAAAAGCACATGGTTTGTTTTTTTTCTGGACTTAAAGATACAACAGTTTTAAGGAAGCATTATAGAAAATTGAAAGCAGTGAGACATGGATGACAACTTCTGTCATTATTTCAAGAGAAAAAAAACAGTTTTAACAAAAGTTTAGGTTAGTTTTCCCTTAGGCAGGACAAAAAGAATAAAATTACTAGATCCAGTTAAATCATCTCAGGCTCCTCTGCTTTAACCTGGATTGGAAATGGACACATTTAATGGTTATATATAACCATTATATAAATGATTATATTTGTGCTTCAGAGAGATTGCTCTCTGCAGTGCCAACATCCACAATACTTTTTTGATAGTAACATGAGACAGTTTTCTCTTGTTTTGTTCAAGTTTGAGCAAAATGCATTAAGTTATTCCATATCTAGAATATCTTTGGTGTATTTTAATATGATGATTTTACTGGAAAGAGTATTGCTCATGATAACACATACTAAAAAAGTTTAAAAATTTGTTTTGTGAATTTAAGGATGCTAGGAACATTACAGAGTTTAATTTAAGATAGGCATTTCAAAACTCCATGAAGCTTTAATTCTGAAATACATGCACTCAGATAGTCATTATCATAGTGCATAGAAAACACATCCAGAGGGTAAAAAGATTTAAGTAATCAACCTAAACACATCTACTGAATGACAGAGAAAAGACTTATAGAAAGTGGAAGTGTTCGACATAACTACTGGAATAGTAAGGATTCAAAGATGACAGCAAGTTCCATCGGTTTCCACTTTTAACACAAAAGTTCCCCCAGGAGATAGCAAACAGCCTCTAGCACAATCTGCTGCTGGCACTGCAACTGCTGGGCAAGGTCAGAGCAGGTGCTGTAAGGTGTTGGTGCAAGGAACACCTCAAAGCACCGGCCCCACTCAGTGGGGAAGGAAGAGGAGCAGCAGCCACCACAGGTCAGCTTTGTTTCTTTCTTACCCCAGCTGGCCAAGATCCAGTCTAGCTCATTCCCCACACTTCTGCAGCCACTCCTTCCCACAGCACTTCAGAAGACCACAAGTGAGCAAAAGATATCCTAATTGCTACCAAGCAAGAATTTTAAGATTTCAGGAAAGCCACAAACACTTCTTCCTATATGAAGGTAAAAAGCACTATTAAGTCTGTAGAAAGTTTCCCTTCCACATACTGAAGTGTTCATCTCAAGTTCATCTAGAATTGAGATTCAAGATACTTTGCCCAACATTTAAACTTTCACACAAGGTAAACAGAACAAAAAGAAAAAATATACCAATATTCAGCAACATTTTGAACTACTACATTCTGTATGGCATTTGGTTTTGCAAAGGAAAGAGAAGGAACAGTCAGCTTCAGGACAAAATAACACCTGATATATTTAACTATCTAATGAAACCACAGTTTGACTTGGCTTCTTGCAATTCCTATCTTTAGCTTTAACATCAAATCACTTCTGCAGAATACTTACAAATTCATCTTTATCTTGCCATCCCCAAGCACCAACATTCCCTGGTGCTAGCAGCTGATACGGGTATCTTCCCACTGCATATGAAGCACCTGTTAAATCTTCAGGTTCATTCTGGAAGTTCTCACTAGCTATACACAGTCTGTCATTCTTCACTGTATTGTTAGAAATTGTATTATTCCATAAAAAGCCCATCAGATATTCACCACTACCAGCAGTAACAGTGTTAGAAAATAGCTGATTTGTCCAATCAGCACTGCCAGTCTGAAGATTGATGACATGTGACCATATTTCAACTTGGGGATTTTGTCTGTCCAGTTCATAGGAGCGCTCTTGGTCACTCAATCCGTCTTCCATCAGATCTAATACACACCACTCACTGCCTTGCTGAAATCCTGCGGCACCAGCAGAGGCACTGTGTATTTCGTAGGAAGGAGTAGCAGCATATTTGTCTACCTGCTTTGGGTCAACAAAAAATCCAAGCTCTTTGTTTGAGAAAATCTTGTGATCTGACTGCATCTGTTCCAAACTTGTGGTCAAGTCATTCACTTGAGTATTTAATATGTAACTGGTGTTTTTCAGCTCAGTAGTCTTGGCCTCTAACTGCTTTAAATTCTCTGTGGTAAAAGCTTCTGGATTCCCAGTTGAAATATTAAAATCAGTGAGGTTCTCCTCCTCTGAGTGGATACTGACACACTGTTTTACTTCCCCATCCCAAAGACCACATTCATTTACATCACACACACTTGTTTCAGGAGTTTCTGATCGTACCTCAGCAAAAGGCCCCACAGAAACTTGGATGTTCCCAACCTCTGGCTCTGGACTGGCACACTGACATAACTCCAGCTCTTCCACTGGTTTATCACACACATGAGAATATGAATTTTGACATAATGAAGGTAAACAATTATGGGGTTTATGTAAGGGATTACTGGCATCTTCCAGACTTTTAGTGTCATCTGTCAATTTTACACTCTCATACATACAGTTGTCCAAAGCTAGAGGTACAGTGGACTTAGTATTCTGATCGTGACTTAGGCCTTTATTGCAATTTAAGATGTTTTTCTCACAATCAACAATGTTAGCATCCAAATTCTGGTTTACTTTTTCTGCCTTATCAACTGTCACACTTAGAACTTCAAATTTTGTCTTTTTTACAGGTCCTACTACATCCCCAGCTATTTTGGCTGAGTCAGTCCCCGTATTCCATTGATTTTCCACTGCGTGGAAGGAATGTACATCCTGTTGCTCATCTTGTCTACAGTTCATATCCATTTTATTCATATCCTCATGTTCCACAGGCACATAAGATACACTGTTTTTGTTATCTGAATTTGAATATTTGCATACTTTACCTTTACCACCTGGTGACTCTTGTGAAATTGGAGATTCTAGGCTGTTTTCCTTTAGGAACAGTTCACCTGCACTTGTGTTATATATTTCATGAGATGTGAAAGTGCCATCACTTACCCATGATTGAGGTCTGCCCAAGCTACCAACTTCCTCAAGCATGTCACCTTTTAGCTCAATGATACTCACACAGACATCTTCCTCTGTCCCACTATGGTTTGCAACTTCAGCTGATGTCTTGTTTTCAGTGCAACCCTTAATTTGAGTTTGAAAATCAGAACTTTCTTCTAAGTTTTCATGCATTCCAGTCACATTCAAAGCTTCACAGCTATGCAAAACTGTACCTGTGCATTTCTCTTTATGTTTCAAGATTTCTTCCAAAATGCTGTGATGTTCACTGCAGTCAGGTACAAATGTTTGGCTATCACCATACATTCTTTGAAATGTTCTCTTTTCCACACTTGAGTTCACTTCACTTTCTGGCTGTAGAAAGTAGCCTTCAGCAAGTTTTTCTACATGTTGACTCGCCAAAAAAGAATCATTGTCCATTCCTTGTAACTCTAATGATAATTTAAAGTTATCCCTGACGTATTCTGCCACCTGGTTAGTATTTATTTCCCTTACAACACTTGAGGGATGCCTACTTAAACCAAATTGTACCATCTCAGAATCATGACTTCCCTCAATCTTTCCTGAATTACATACTCCGGTGTTTAACAATACATTGGAAATACAATCACTGTGTTTTGTGTTTTCTGAATTAGGGCTGCATCGGTCCTCTTCAGCAGCATCCACAAATTTGACAGAATCACAAGCTCTATGGAGTGATTCATTCCAACAGACAGCATTACCTGTGGTATGTACCTCCTCTTGTTGATTCGCAAGGACAACTTCATTGTATTCTTCTACTCTTAAGGCATCTGTTACTGTATTGTCAGTATTTAACCCATGCATCTGACACCCGTTAGCCAGTAAGTTGTCATAAGAAGACTGTATGTCTATGCTACAATGTTCCTTTGTTTTCTTTTTATGCATG